TTTTCCACCAAACCCATTTATTTCATGATAATATTAATTGAAAAATATTTCTCCCAGGCAAAACTAAACAGGCAAAATTTGCTTTTCTTTTCGCGCGAAAATTTAAATTGTTTTTTTTTGGTCGGACAAATTAATAACAATTAATAAGATAAATAACGTATCAGTTGATCAAGAGAAACTTATTTTAAAATATTTTATTGAGTAGGCTTGATATTCGCACGATCTGAATTGATAAAACTCACTCAATGAGATAAAAATGATCATTCTACCCACCTCAGTCATGAAAATGAACATTGTGATCTTCTTTAAAACAGTTGTCGTTATATTTTCTTTTATACATCTGTCGCACTCTACATCTTCCAAAAACTGTATTGTTTTTTTATAAAATATAACTTGCGAACTCTACATCTTCCTTAAATTATATTCAATTCTTATTGAATATGTCAGAGTTGACAGGAGAATTCAGTTGAGTTTGGAATGCACGACAATTTAAAAGAAAAAAAAATCGAAAAATATTTTTCTATTTAGGATAAAATAGATTATCAATTGAAAGAAAAAGTATAGAAAAATATTTTTTTAATAGATTGAAATAGAGTATTTGTATAGTATCTTCCAACAAAAAAAACATACATTAAAAACGTTGAATAAAAAATTGCGCTAATTCATTGCATCATACACTTTATTTTTTCTCAAAATTTTTGTCTTTTTGTGTGCTCGTCATTTATTATATATTAATTTACTCAACGTTTAATATTATAAAGATATAAAATAATTGATTGTCTCATAATATATTATTATATAGCTGCCCTAAAATTATTATTTCCACAAATTTTCTATATTAATAAATTTTGCTAAAATCTACTAACTTAAATGTTTATATCGCTTGCGTAGATGAACTGTATTCTATTTATCGAGGTTCGTTACTATGAAACACATCATCATTAAACATAAGCTATGACGACATTTTTAATTAGATAAATCGATGTATTTTGGTTTTATAGTTAAAATATTATTATTTACACGAAATATTTAAAAAGAAAACAATACACAATTGTACGTCTGTATTGCTTTAAGTTACAATTAAACTATTGAGTTTCATTTCTTTCTGAATGTTGATCGTAAATTTTAAATTCTCTTTGTCATATTTCTTTCTTTAATTTTATCATCATACGTAATAAAACATAATCTAACTGAAAATATTCATGTCTTTTTCTTATGTAGCCGATTCGACAGAATAGTTATAAAATCACAATCACAAAAGAAGTAAAATCTACGTAAAACTCTCTCTTATTCAACATATTATTCTTCATCAACCAAATCAATTTCTTAATTTTATTATCATAAAAAAATACAATATAATAAATACTGAACAATTCATTTCAAGCTAATAGCTGATGTTCCCACGTCCCCATGTTCACATCATTAAAAAAAATACAATATATTTAAAAACAGAAATTCAATAATTCTTTTTTCGGCCAGTAATCAATGTCTCCATGTCCCCACTATTGAAAAATTTTGCAATACAATAAAAAACAAAAATTAAATAATTCATGTCTAATTATTAATGAATATTCCCATGATCCCATGTTTTAAGAAATATTATATACATAGGTCAGTCAATAAGTTCTCGGACTTTCAAATATTTATTCAAAGAAAAAACATTTGGCTAATCTTTTCACAGTAAATGTTCGCAGTAGTCCCTAGGATGTTCTACACATCGTTTCATCCTTTCATTCCATTTCTGAAATGTCTTTTGATGTTCGTGAATAGGTATTGAATGAAGCTCCCTGGATAACATTTTAGCTAAACTTGTTACAATTGGGCATGTATCAAGGCCACGTTTCAAATAATTGAACAACCAAAAATCTGAAGGTGTAAGGTCAGGTGAATATGATGGATGAGCCATAACTTTGTTTTTTTCTTCTTGAAGATAATTACAATGAAGAACAATATTTTCCATAAGTAATAGTGCATTTTTTTAACGCAAATTTATGCTATCTTCTGTTGATGGTGATTTTTTTCTTATGTACATTTTTTACTAATATCTTTAAGTATCCACCACAATAAGTGATGTGTTAACTGTGTCTAAGATGGCGGTAACATACTCAATAATAATATGTGAATCATCATTCACCAGGTCTTTAGCTCGGTTAATATTTTGTTGAGTGATGCCGGATAACGGACGGCCACTTCGAGGATTATTTTCCAAGGACTCTCGCTTATTTAAAAATCGTTGAATCCACTGAGTAACTGTACTAGATGAAACTGCATCTGGTCCATAAACAACAGCTAATTCATTACGAATTTGTGTAGCTGTTAAGCCTAATAATAAACGAGTTTTTATATACGAGCGTATACACTGTTTTTCCTAATGAAAATAGAGTTGTTAAAAAAATTCTTTAAACATTTGTCATGATAGACACTTATGAAACTTCGTACTGATATTTTAATACATAACAGATGTCATTACTAGAACAGGCCAATATGAGGAATAGGATCAATTAGGACGAAATTTTAGAGAGCTGTTACGAGAACTTTTTGTCGCCCCTATGTATTTAAAATCGAAAATCAGACAATTCATTTCTACCCTATACTCATTAAATCCATGTCCTCAATCTCAAAAAAAAATATTCAATATACTTAAAAACGACAAACCAACAAAACCAATTCTAGGTAATCGAAAATATTCTATTTTTATAAAAATTCTTCTTAAAATCTACATGCAATTTATTATTACTGAAATGATGATAATTCTATAAGACTAAAACTAATCTTCTTCCAGTTCTATTTATAAACCGCTCATAGCTATAAAACACAAAAAAAGAACTTAGAAAAAAAAATATTTTATTGATTTTAAACTTATTCCGAACTCAACTGAATTCCAAACTCACCTGCGACAAATATAACTTAAGAACTTGACAACTTTCAAAAACTTAAAATAATAATAACAAGTGAAAGTATCTTTTTGAGAATTTTTTAAAATCATATGATCATAGAATTATGTTTGAAACTAAGTTTAATTTTGCCTAAACCTTAATTCTGTCTGACACATGTATACATATTTTTGTCATAGTTGTCATCGATACATCATAATGAATGTTTCATCTTCACCACAGAAAAGACAATCTACACGACGTACAGTAAAAATTTCTCATCATCTTAATTATCCATTAAATCATATAGAAAATGTGCTTTTACCATTATTTGAAAAAGATTATCCAGATGATAGTTTACGTGTAACTATTGATAGTGCAAATCATATTTGGTGTGCATATGAAAATGGTAAATGTATTGGTTGTGCATTAATTACTGATATTGGTTCTTATGGTGGATTGTATGTTATTTTATTTGGTATTAGTAAACCAGCACAAGGACGTGGAATTGGTACACGTTTATTAAAAAAAGTTATTAAATGGTCTCGTAAACATAGTTATACATTTATATATCTTCTTACAGAGTATGATAATGAAAAAGCGATTAGATTATATGAAAAAGCTGGTTTTGAAAAAGATTTTCGTAAATCATTTCTTGATGAAGAATTACCAGGATATGGAGATGGTGCTGTTCCATTAATATTATTTGTGTGAAAAGAAAAAGCAATTGAAGATATACTTTGATAACACTTCTAATATGTTGTTGTTGTTTTTCTATTTGTACAAATGATTTATCGATTGATAAGATTCGTTGCTAGTGTGATGATTTTGTTAAATTGATACATATCTTTTTGAAGAACTAATTCTTATATATAATATGTATGTCCCAGGCAAAATTAAACAGGCAAAACTTGCTTTTCTTTCTGCGCGAAAATTTGAATTTTGTTTTGGTCGAAAAAAAAATATCGAAAAACATTTTTCTATTATAATAAAATAGATTATTTGTATAGTATCGTCCAACAAAAAAAACATATTAAGAACAACTAATAAAAAAATAGGCGATTCATTGTATCATATATTTTTTCCGTTTTTTCTGTGCTCGTCATTTAGAATTAAAAGAAAAAATATCGGGCAAGATTCTTTTGTTAGAATAAAACAAATAATTTGTATAGTAGTTTCCAAAAAAAAATTATTAAAAACGTTGAATAAGAAATTGGGCGAACTCATTGTATCATATATTTGATTTTTTCTGAAAATTTTTGTGTTTTTGTGTGCTCGTCATTTATTATATACTAATTTATTCAACGTTTAGTATTATAAAAATATACAATAATTGGTCGTCTCATCTCATAATATATTATTACATAGTTTTCCTAAAATTATTATTGCCATAAATTTTCTATATTAATAAATTTTTGCTAAGATCTACTAAATTAAATGTTTATGTCGCTCGTGTAAATGAACTGTATTCTATTTATCAAGGTTCGTTACTATGAAACACATAATGATTAAACATAAGCTATGACGACATTTTTAATTAGATAAATCGATGTATTTTGTTTTTATAATTCAAATATTACTATTCGATGGAAGTATTTAATGAGAAAATAATACACAATCGCACGTCTCCATTGCCTTATGTTTATTTAACTACTGACTTTCATTTTTTCTTGAATGTGAATGTAAATTTGAAAATCTGTTTATCATATTTCTTTCTTTGGTTTTATCATCACACATAATAAACATAATCTAACTGAAAATATTCATGTCTTTTCCTTTGTAACCGATTCTAAAAATACTTATAAAATCTCAATTACAGGAGAAAATAATCTACGTAAAACTGTCTTATATTTAGAATATTATTTTTCATCAATTACGATCAATGTTTCAATCTTATTGTCATAAAAAAAGTATAATATAATAAATACTCAACAATTCATTTCTAGCTAATAATCAATGTCCCCATGTCCCCATTATTAAAAAAATAGTTAATATATTTAAAAACGAAAAACTAACAAAATCAATTCTACGTAATGGAAAATATTCTATTATTATAAAAGTTCTTCTTAAAATCTACATACAATTTATTATTAATGGAAATATGATAACTTTATAAAACTAAAACTAACGTTCTTCTAATTCTATTTATAAATAGCTTATAGCTATAAAATACCACAAAAACTTCGAAAAAAAAATTATTTTATTAATTTTAAACGTATTCCAAACTCAACTAAATTCCAAACGTATCTGCGACAAATATAACTTGCGAACTCTACATCTTTCTAAAATTAAATTCATTTTTTATTGAATTCAACTTAAGAACTTTACAACTTTCAAAAATTTAAAATAATAATACTAACTGAATTATTTTCCGAAAATTTTTAAAAATCATATGATCATAGAATCATTTTAAAATCAAGTTTAATTTTGTCTAAACCTTAATTCTGCCTGACACATTTATATTAAATTTCTTTCGATACTCTGTAAAAATCACGAAATTAATTCAATATTCTTGGATACTAAATGATACAATTTCAGTGATCAGTTTCCTATGAATATTTTCAATCTGCTGATAAAAAATGTATATTTTCTTATTATTTGCAACATGACAAAGTATAAATATAAATGAAAACATAGTTTTAAAATTGAAAGCAGAGTGTAAATCTTTTTTTAAGTTTTCACATGACTAAAAGACAAAAGTTATGTTTAAAATCAAATTATAACAAGTAGAATCATCTGTTCTCATAATGGAAATAATATACAAAAATTTAGTTTTTATGAATATATCTGTGAATATATTGAAAACTGTAAAGAATTAATATTTGATATATATCAGTATTTTCAAATTATTTCCTACATAAATGAATAGAGCTATTTTAAGTATGACACAGAAATTGAGTTTTATTTCTTTGTCAGAAAGTTATTTACATTTAGAATATGGTCTTGTCATGTGCTCTGCACACATGATACAGTCTTTGTTCTCTCATGTTTTTCTGCTCCCTCTTTCATTTTTTGTCATTTTGGACCAGAGAGGATGTGTTGGAATGCATGTATGCATGAGAGAAGGCGTTGGCAGCGATAGATATACATTGTTTTGTTCTGTGATCAAATATAAACTTCCAATTACACAATGCATTGTCAAATACTCTTTGTATCTTAAAGTAAATTTTAACTGATCATATATCTTATGAATTTTTATTGTCATTCTTAATGGTACGTCATGATATTCGACTAGACAAGAAACAAAAAAAACTGTATATTGAGTTTTTTTTATACACGAAGGAAAGAAAGAGATAACAAGCCAAGAACAATAAGTTATAAAGAGAAAGATAAGTGGAATGACATATATGGATCAAAGAAATGAAATATATCACGAAAAGAAAGTGAATAGAAGAGAAATAATATGACAATATAAAAAAAAGCTCATCTCACAACAAAGTATTCTAAAAACAAATGCCATTGTATCACATTTACAACACAGAAAATAATTACTCAAACCTTTGAATGAATCAGACGTGGAAAAAATACTAGAAGTACTCGTCCTCGAGAATAAAACACTTGAGATTCTTAATGAAGTATATTTTATTTACAATTTCAATGATGTTCTACTCTTCAACGTTGTACTAAAAAGTCGTAGACTCTTTATAATCTATTGTCTCTTGAAACTTACTAAGAAGAAGTAGTTTAAAAAGTGTGGTGTGTTAGTTTTTTCAATACTGTGTGTTTCGCTAAAATATAGCATATTACTCTCAGCAACCACATTAAAAATTCGTATTTAACTCTCGAAAACTCGATATTCGTATTGGCACTTGAAAAAGCCAGTACTAGCCTATCTTTACGGTAAAAATCTATATGAAATTCGAATAACATAATACTGTTAGTATGATGTAATTCTTCAGATAAGAAACTATTAATGGTATTCATAAATAGATCATATAAATTCCATGTTCTTCTTAGTTCTTCAAATAGTTTTAACAAATCATCACGTTTATAATATAGGGCGTATCTTCTTTTTATTTATCGAAGACGTAAATCATCCTAGAAAAAATTCTTTCATATTCAAAATTAGACATAGTTAGAAGGTTAGCACGGACCTTACATTTTACATATCTGTATATTTTATCTCACGGGACTAAATAACTATACAAAAATAATACATGTTGATATTTGTTAGTAGGATGTTTGATCTCTTATCTCTTTTCACTCTATAGTATATAATACTCCTATTTTTCTCGTTTAATTTCAAATTTATTATTTCATTTTTCCATCTTCAAAAAGAAGTAAGTAATCGATTTTATAATTATATATAGAATATTAATAGTTACAGTTTATTTCTAGTATCAAAGATCAATTTGTTCGTATTGAAGAATACAATTAAAATGCAACAATCATGTGTTATTTTATTATTATTCTACACCATCTATTTTGTTAATGGTTACGGTTATAGCTCGAACGGTCTATATTGTTCTTCATTCAAAAGCAAAATTTATCAAGTATCAATCACATTTCCTGATTTAGACCCATTTTATGCTATATTTGATTTTCAAGATAATTATAAAGTTGTTGAATATGATAATATAGGACATGGTGGTAGTAAAGCTGAACTTGGAGTTGATCTAACATTAGATACTCACGTAGGATACTATGCTTGCCATGGTCGAGAATTTGTTCATGCATCTATTGCTGGTTGGATATATAAAACTGCTGGTGTACCAGCATTGGAAGACAATGGTGCTCTTGCTGTTCATAATTATAAATTATATTTTTCCAGAGATCGTGAAACATGTACTGGCTCAATGGAATATTCATTTTATAAAACTGGTTCAGATCCATTTGCAAGAAAAAATAAACCAACATTACATACAGAAGGTGGTGTTGTTACTTGTAAATTATTGAAATATCGATCCCCAGAACATTACTCATAAATATGGGGAAATTATCCTAGCATGAACAATGTCTAACTATTCTAACATTCATAATTCTTTTTTGTTCGATTGTAAAGCATTATCATAATTCATCAATAAATAAAATATAATATTGAAGTCGAAAGAATAACTGTATGAATATACATATCAACACTTGGATACCATTGATCTCGAAATTATTCTTTTAAGAAGTCCGATCTAAAAGGAGTATTGAAACGTATAGAAATAGAGATTTACACTCGTCCTGCCACTACACACATGACGATTGAATTCATACTGTTTAAGATAAATACATCAATAATTTCTTTTATATTAAGCGATTTTTCTCTTGAATTTGATAGTAACTATTAAAATGCTAATCCGATGACTCTGTACTATATAAATTATTTCTTTCTAATATTTCTATATGATCAACTTTGTGATATTATTTATTGAATTAAAAAATTTGAACTAATCTCAAGATATTTTCAAAAAAAAACAATAGTGAATCATATTGACAAAAATAATCTTTCTACACATCTTAAATAGAAACAGCGTAACGTTTTAAATATTGAAAAGTATGGATTAAATCCTGAAGAGTTAATAATATAGATAAATTTTTATGTATTGTTTTTTTTCTTTAAAACATTATCAGTATAAAACTTATATAAGAGTATTTCGAATTATCTATTCATATACAATCTACAAATTTTGACATGAATGTTAAGTATTTAAAAATATCCTTGAATCGTAACATATTTTTATTATCTTAGTTTTCATATGATGATTTTTTACTTTATTCTTTTACTATGTAAATAATTGATTATAGTTATATGAAATAGATAGTTGTCATAATATTTGAATTATTTTCTTTTCTTTTTGTAACTTTTAAAACAAGAAAACTTGAAATATTTTATAATAAAAAATACTCTCTTATTAAACTCTTTCAGAAGTATTACTTTAAACGTTAATTTATTTCATGACAATATTAATTAAAAAATATTCTTTAATAAAATTCTTTATTTTATTCTTCTAAAAAAATTAAAAAACATAAACTTTGTTTAAAGTATAATTAGTCATTAAAAGTTATTTTTTAGTATAACAAATAATTTTACTCAGTGTCAATATCAAATTTTTGTACTCGATGATTATCACAATCGATAACATAGAGATTACCTTGTCGATCAAATGCTAAACCATGTGGATAAGCAAATTGATTTGGTTGTTTTCCTTCTCCATTTCCACCAACAACTATGTTACCTTTTGCTGCATTTGGTGACCAAACAACTATTCGATGATTCCATGAATCAGCAATATAAACATTA